TAACGAGTTCATTCTTTTCCCTGCCATTATAGCTTAAGCAACAAACGTTTTATCCAAATGACAGATTGACAAATATTTACGCGATTTCCTGCTGAGCTATTTTTCTTTTCTATCTAAGTTTCTAAAAGACAACAGAAATAAATCTATTAGGTAGAGTCTTAGGAAATTTCCGTTCTTGGGAACCAATTATAATGATGCATGATTTTAGTATAATAAAGAATTGTAAATTATGTTACTATAAGAATCCATTGTTAGTAAAATGACTATAAGAATGTATTGAAAATTATTTTATCATAAAAATGGATTGTAAATAATTCTGGTATAAGAATCAATAGGGAATAATTTTACTATTAGAATGAATTGGAAAGGATTTTACTATAAGGAAGAATTGTGAATTATTTTACGATATGAATGCATTGGAATTTATTTTAGTATAAAAATCTATTGGGAATGATTTTAATATAAGAATGCATAGGGGATAATTTTACTATAAGAAACACTGGAAATTAATTTCTTATATGAATTCATTACAAATTATTTTGCTGTCGGAATGTATTTTAAATGATTGTAATCTAAGAATTCATTATAAATGATTTAATTATAAGAATGCATTGAAAATGATTTTATTATGAAAATGCATTGGAATTATTTTACTATAAGAATGTATTGAAAATGATTTTAGTATACGAATGCATTATAAATGATTTTACTATGAGAATTAATTGTAAATAATATCAATATAAGAATGGATTGTAAATAATTTTACCATAAGAAGAATGCAAATGTTTTTTTTCTATGAGAATGCATTGGAAATGATTTTATTATAAGAATGCATTATAATTGATTTTATTTTAAGAATGCATTATAAATGAATTTACTTTCAGAATTCATTGGAAATTATTATTGTATAAGAATGCATTGGAAATGGATTGTCCTATAAAATGCATTGGGAACTATTTTAGTATAAAAAAGCATTCAAAATTTGTTTACTATGTGAATGCATTGGGAATCCTTTTACTATGAAAATGCATATAAAATGATTTTACTATAAAAATGCATTTGATTTTTATTATAAGAAATGATTTTGAAATTCATTTTACTGTTATAATGGAAATGCATTGTAAATGATTTTTTACTATAATAAAATGCATTGGAAATGATTTTAGTATAAGAATGCATTATAAATGATTTTTTACTATAAGAATGCATTGTAAATGATTTTAGTATAAGAATGCATTTTAAATGATTTTATAAGAATGCATAAATGATTTTAGTATAAGAATGCATTGTAAATGATTTTTTTATTTTGTATAAATGATTTTGTATAAGAATGCATTGGAAATTTTGATAAGTTTTGAAATGATTTTAGTATAAGAATGCATTGTAAATGATTTTACTATAAGAATGCATTGTAAATGATTTACAATAATTATAAGAATGCATTGTAAAATGGTTTTAAATGATTTTACTATAAGAATGCATTGTAAATGATTTTATTTTATTTTATAAGAATGCATTGTAAATGATTTTATTTTAGATTTTACTATAAGAATGCATTGTAAATGATTTTATTATAAGAATGCATTTTGATTTTATTATAAGAATCAGTAAAATTTATTTAAGAAATTATTTTATTATAAGGCATTGTAAATGATTTTACTATCAGAATCCATTAGAAATTATTTTATTATAAGGATGAATTCCAAATGATGGTATTAGGAGAATTTTTACGATAAAAGTTGATTATAAATGATTCGCTGTAATAATTAATTTTAAATCTGTAGAGTGTCCTTTAGAAATGTATTTACCTGGAAAACTATTCAATGAATTTCAGATTTTACTTGTATGGAAACGGTTATTTCTCACAGTTCCAGTAAGCAATGGTTAAGAAACTGCCACTTACTGCACAATTAATATACCCTTTTGCCAGACTAACATAAGCATAGTAAGTATCTATTAATCAATTGCCAAACTTTATTGAAACTTTAATAAACGATATTATTAAGTATTGTGAACTTATTTTAATATAACCTTCCTTTGGGGCAACACATGGTTTTCATAGCATATTTTTTTGTTGTAAGTAATTTTTATTTTGAGGAACCATTTGTAATATCGAATGTATCATCCAAAGTACAAATCATACATAGCAGTTAAGAACAAATTTCATGTACACTAGCTAATATTAGATTTTGTACAGAAGTGGCAGCGTACATAGGGGATTTTCGAAATGGAATAGAATTTTAAGCGAAGGAAGAACGCTATGACTATATTTGAAATAATATCCAGTATTTGCAAGTAGCAAAATGGTTTACAAATTTTTTTCTGGTACAACCTCCTTGAAATGTAAATAAAGACAGGGGCATTTATTAGAATTTGTTAATTAACCTCAAATGAGGAAAGCATCCCACGGTAAAATTCTTATGAAATAGCAAAATCGTTTGACACATCACATTTAGAAAAGATAAGAACGACCAATAATCTGAACGTTTTTTTTCCACGTGTTCTTAGCAAAAAGAATCAAGTAGAGGGATTATCCCTAACGATAAGTAAACAAGATCGCGAGTCGGATACAGAAGCTTCACTAGTTGCGATGAACGGATCTTCCATTAGGGCCTTGGACGCCTATTGATACTTAAACTCGGCCCAAATCTTTGCGAAAGATGTTGGAAAAAATATTTCCTTCCCTGTACCACTCCAGCAAGTACCTCCCTAATCCTGCACTACTGGTTCCCAAACTTTTTTCAAGAATAAAATTTTATTTGATAAAAAGTATCTTTCCGTCCTGGGTAAGACGATAAACTACATCCCCGTCCTGGGGATGACGACAAACTACATCCCCGTCCTGGGTAAGACGATAAACTACATCCGCGTCCTGTGTAAGACGATAAACTACGTCTAACAGCAAGGCATCTCATTGAGAGTTTATGAGGAGATTGGAACCACCTTTTAATTGCTGATGTTCCCAGGTCCACCCTGACCCGGGGTGGTAGTACCTGTTAGGCTCTCAGATATGGGCAAATAGTTAACCTCCAAAGTGGGGTCAAAAGACTATGAAAGTGTAAAAATAGGTTTTAATAACAGAAATACTTTGTAAAAAAAAGTTATTACCAGTCTCACTTTTTTGAAAAAAAAATTACAAGCGATACATTTTTGAAGAAAAAATATTACCAGAAATAGATTTTTGAAGGAAAAAAATTACCAGCAATACATTTGAAAAAGCAATATTACCAGCAATAAAAATTTTATCGGCATTAAATAAACCATTGAGATTGATATGCCGTAAAAGAAAACAAAAAAAGTATCTTTAAAAAATAGAAAAAAACAGAGAGAAGGTTAACTTTAAAATATAAATGAAAATTCTATTAAAAATTTGTTTGTCGTGCCCATTAAAATATCAAAAATAAATATTTATAAACCAATCACATTCAATAAAGTGTTTACTATTTAAAACACACCAACAAAACCATAGAATACAAATCAGGAAGATTGTTTTATTAGTCATCATGATTTACGTAGATACCGCCAAACCGTGCGGACGTAGTAGAAGACATACCACGTGACTTTTTAGGGCCAATTAGGAAGAAATAAATAATTTAATTCTGAAGCCGATGTTTTTAGGAAAAAGTGTATAAAACACACGGAATCCGGTCCCAAACGCAATACGCACAGATGTCACCAATGTCCACGTCACTCTCGCTGATAAACTTCACGACCTCATTCACGTCTACATACTAATAGCGACAGCGCTGACGAACTACAAAGAGAACGCTTCAGACTGCGGCACCACAGTTCACAGTAAGAACCAATTTTTAACTATCTCTTGTATTTCCCCGTTACTATTAAGCACGCATATACGTACCGACTCTTTCACACAAACCACACATATAACGACATTTCATTGTTTTTCTCATACGTACACTAAATACAGATTATATCCTATTCTAGAACTTTATTAAACAAAACGTAAGAAACATTACTTTCTAATCCATGATAAACTGCTTGTATTCTTGTCGTTATATTAAATGAATTTTTATTTGTTGAAATTACGTTGTCTTTTCTACTGTAATTTATATTTCAATGAAAATCGTTTGATTATTCTAAACGGCCGAATTTTGACATTCAACGAAAAACCGAGCGGAAGGATTCCTACATATTCATTAAGCATGACTGAATTTGTTAAATGAAATACGGACTTCCAGTCTATGGAGTGCAGTTTCATATTCTGACGGCTTTAACCTTTAGCACTCTGCATCATTAATATTACTTTCCTATCTACTGCATTCTTTTTCAAGGCCTTTCAATTGCAGCATCTTTATTGTTAATTTCATTCAAAGTTATTATCTGTTGCCATAGTGGGACATGACAACACAACTATGAAATTCAAACACACTATTATTCAGGGACCACAGTCACCATCAGGGCAGGATAAACTTTTTGTATGCCAAATGAAGTGTCACAGAGAGTGATAAAAGTTAATTTTTCCGTCTTACCAGTGTTTACTTAAGCAGTCGATACAGTGTAGCATATATATATATATATATATATATATATATATATATATATATATATATATATATATTGTCATCCACAGACAGACTGTTTCGCTGTATCACAGCTCATCAGTGTGGCTACACATCCGTTTGCTTCTAGCTAGGATCGAAACCCGATTGAATTGGCGGCAGGGATGAAGGCGAATTTTAAGTGTATTCATTTTTAGATAAACACCCAGTGACTGAGAGAACTCAATTCGATTTACCGAAGAGTCTTGCATTATTAGCCATAATAGTCACTGTTTACAAACTCACATTTCCTCCCCAGCTGAAATAAATTTTTCAGGAGCATATATATATATATATATATATATATATATATATATATATATATATATATATATATTAGTTGATTTTGTTTAGTGGCATATCAACCTCTAGGGGTTTTCGTTCGTTCAATTCTTTCCCTTATTAGAATTGTAAAAAAAAAAACACTCTTTTCTTTTCTAG